TTCTTCATTTTCTTCGTTGTCTTCCTGATCTTCATCATTTCCATTGTCTGTTTCTTCTTCATTTTCTTCGTTGTCTTCCTGATCTTCATCATATTTATTGTCTGTTTCTTCTTCATTTTCTTCGTAGTCTTCCTGATCTTCATCATTTTCATTGCCTGTTTCTTCATTTTCTTCGTTATCCACTTGACTCTCATTTCTTTCATCTTTATTTTTTTCGTTGTCTATGTTTTCTTCATTTTCGTCATTATTATCGTTATCTTCCTGATCTTCTTTATTGTTTTCCTGATCTTCATTTTTATCGTCATTTTCTACATTGTCTATGTCTTCTCCATTTTCTTCATCATTATTATTATCTTCTTGATCTTCATCTTTTCCATTGTGTGTTTCTTCTTCATTTTCTTTATTGTCCATTCCTTCTCCATTTTCATCATTATCATTATCGTCGTCATCTTTATCATTTCCATTCTTATTTTGATCTTTATTGTCACCGTTAATATCAATTTGATCATCTTCACACTTTGCTTGGCACACCTTATGCTCAAAACAACTGTCTTTACAACAAGTATAGCCTGAAGGACATTCACTGTCATCATTACACAAAAATTGTTTACTTGTATCATAATCAAAAAAAGGGTTGGTACATCGGTATTTACTTGAAGATATAGGTTTAGACACTGAAAAATGCGAGCATCAATTATTTTCTTGAAAATTAAATTTAAAAAAACTCACTTGATGTTTCCTTACATATTTTATGTTCAAAACAAGAATCACTGCAGCAAGCGTACCCTTCAGGACAATCATCATTACACAGAAATACAACAGTGTCACTGTATTTTAGTGGTTGAGAACACAAATGTTTTTCTTTGGGACATTCATTACCGATGCTACTAAGATCATCACTATTTCGTTTATCGAAATTATTATCATTACCATTTTTTCTATTGTTGCTATTATTTTCAATGTTTGCCTCTTCTTTTTGAATATCACTATTGTTATTATTAGCAATTTTTTCAGGTTTAATATTTTCAGCACTAGAGATAGAAATAACACTTTTTTTACATATTCTGTGTTGGAAACAAGAATCTTCACAACACATATAACCTTCAGGGCAATCATTATTACACAAAAACAATTTAGTATCTTCATATTGCAATGGCTGTAAACAAGTGAACGTTTCAGGTGGACAAGAAACTGCACGTTTCACAACTAGAATAAAACTTTATTATTTTTTATAATTTATTTCGAAAACTCACTCTTGATTGGTGCATTTTCATCACTATTTGGCAAAACTCGACAGTCGACAGTCAAAATGAAAAGAAAAAAATACAAAAACATTTTTTCAATTTATTTCACATCAACCTAATACAATTTATACTTAATGATTCAAATTGCAATAATTCTGAATGTCACTACTTATCAAAAATATCAAATATTTGAACTTGCAAGATAAATGTTTGTTTACTTTATTTGCTCAAATGTAACAAATTTAGTTTTCTTCTTCATCATAATTTTCAACGTATTCTTCTTCAGTTGTTGTAGAAACATCAGATGTTTCATCTTCTTCTCCTATTGTTGTTGAAATTGTCGATGATTTGTCGTCTTCTGTTTCTGTTGTTGTCAAAGTTGGAGATGTTTCTTCTTCTGTTGTTGATGAAATTGTAGATGATTTTTCTCCTTCTATTTCTGTTGTTATCAAAATTGGAGATGTTTCTTCTTCTGTTTCTGTTACTGTAGAAATTGGAGGTGTTGTATCTTCTTTTTCTGTTGTTGTAAAAGTTGGAGATGTTCCTTCTTGCGTTGTTGTTGCAAATGGTGTTGTAATTTCAACAGTAGTTGAAACCTCTTTACAAATCTTATGCATGAAACAACTATCCTCGCAACAGGTGTATCCTGAGGGACAGTCATTGTCCCCTAAACACAAAAATTCTTCAGTTTCTTCACAAGCAAGAGGCATAAAACAAGGATTTTTCTCAACAGGGCAAGACCCCAAACTGGAGTCACCTTTTTTGCAAATTTTATGTTGGAAGCAAGAGTCTGGACAACATTTATACCCAAAAGGGCACAAGTCATCACACTTGAAACGTTCTGTATCTGAATATTTCAGGGGTAAAACACATGTGATGGTTTCTTGGGGACAAAATAACTCAGCCTCTGAATTAAATTAAATTGCAATTACTCTCAATTAATAATTTAATTACTCACCTCGTTTTCTCTTCATATTTAATTTTGGATCAAGATAATAAGATTCGGCTAGAGTAAATATTAAAAATAAAAGTATTGACATTATTTAAACACAACTATTTGATCGTTAAGCAAATATTGAATTCCGGGTTTCATTAAATTATTGCGATAAATAGAAAAGTGCAATCGTATCAATAATTTTTTTGTGATAAGAGAAGTGGGTGAAGGTCTCTTATTCTTAGAATATACCAAAATAACTCTTTTCTTTGTAAATATTGCGATATTGGAAAAACTTTTATTTTTTGATGTTTTTTTATTAATTAATTGTCACTACATTTTTTTTAATTTTTTACAATTATTGAGGCCCTGACCAACGGCCATACAATCTCGTATTACAAATAATCCTAACAGTACAAAAATAAATAATTTCAGCCAACGAAACTAACGAAAATCCGGTAAAAAGGCCCAAAAGGCCCCCAAAACTCGCAATCAGATCCGTAATTCCATACAATTCGTTTCGTTCCAAAGTAATAAATTGCTCATCTTTGAAATAAATTTGTAGAACTGACCAGTGGGTCCTAAAATTTTTCTTAAATGAAAATTCGTATTAAAATGTCCCCAAACCCGTCATCATCAATTTTCATATTCAAATGTGCTTCAAAATATTCTTTGTAATAGAAATCGCTGTGAGATGTTTCCATATTGAATCTCAGATTAGTGCAAGAAGGTTTGCAATCACAGAAAGTCTGGCCTAGGATCTTAAATTCCAAGTCTTTCAATTTGAGGTTTTCTAAAATGGAAAAAAACAAAAAGTAAAAATTATAATTAAGGCTCGGATTATATGCAAAATGCATATTTGTTATTAAGAGGTTATCAACAAAATTATAAGTTTTCTATGCTAATGTTTTTTGATTGAAAAATGCATATTTTGGCAACTTGGTGCATATTTTAGGAAATATTGCAAATTTGTGCAAATTTTCGAAAAATTTTATTTTTGATTAAACATCACATTAGTAGGTAACTACTACTAAACTTATCGTACATCAATTAGTTTACTCAAAAAAAATAATAGTTTACGCAAAAAACGTTTTGTTTTATACTTTTTATTCACCTGGTATGGCAAAAATCCTTCCATTTGGTTAAGTAGTTGCCTGCAAATAAATTTTAGCGAAATTGTTTAAAGTGATTTGATTTGAAAAATAGAGTTTTCTTAGAAAAGGTTTTACTAGGTTATTAAAATAGCTTGTCTGAGGCAAAACCTATTTATTTATTCTTTTTCCTTCATTCTGTGCGGTTCTGGATGATAAAAATTTATACCAACTTTGATTTTTTATTGTTATAAGGGAAAGATTATGGAAAAAATAAAGTCCAGTTAAAAACTTCAGTATAATATGACATTTCAATGGTACATTTCCATTTTTTCAGATATAAAAAACAAAAAACGTGTCTAAAATTGTTTTTTATATCTGAAAAAAATTGTCCTCCCAAATGAAAATATTTTCAAAATGGCGGCACTTCCGTTTATACCGGAAGCCGGTCTCAGCTTTCTTATTTTAAATGGAAAGGTACATTTTTTACTGGGTTTTTGGATTAATCGGGTTATTTTAAGGGAGTTTTCATCAGCTTTCCCTATACCTAAATTTAGCCATTTTTGAAATATTTCCACTTTAAAAATCGGTAACTCTGCCATTTCTTAAAATTTTAAATTCGTTTTTTGGCGTTTGAAAGAGAAAGTTTAGATCTTTCTTCCGGTGTTTTCAAATATTGAAAAAAAAATTATATGCACATATTTTACGAATCTTTTGTGCATATAATCCGCGCCTTAATTATAATAATTGAATTAAAAGTAATTAAAAGGATGAGTTACCTTCAGCTCTTATCAAACAATTTCCACTCCCACTGCCACAAATAGCAGTCCGGTTATCTCCTAATTAAACGTAATTAACAATAATTAATTATTTTTACTTAGTTTTTTTTCTTTTACTTACTGGGCATAAAAAATTGCACACAGCCGCACTGCTTGAGGGTGTAATTGGTCAAACACTCGAGATAGCAATTGGGTTGAGTGTAATTTTTGAAGTGCTTCAAGGGCCGTTCGTTGTTCATGTAGCATTTGCGTTTTTCCGGGGGGAATTTCCGGACTTCGATTGAGGTTTTAACAATTTCCGGTTCAATGGCCGCCACTACGACTTTGCTCACAGGGATGCGGAAATAATGTTTGGTGAGACGTGGCACATCCCAGGGATTATGAATCAAAACCTGGAAGATTTTTTGAGGGTGGAAAAAATCCGGGCTTCCTCCTTACTCTAAATCCTTGCAAGAAACTATTGCAAATGAAATCAGTGTCAGCAGTGTCGTAATTGAAGAAAACAGTGAGGGAGTTGTCGGCTCCGGACATTAGGGCCCTTTTGGGATGTGTGTCGACTCCGGAGTTGGTGTCGTAGCCTTTTTCCGTGTCGTAGACGTTGTGGGAGTTGTTGGGGACGTGGTAATAGTCCGAGTAGTGGAAACTGAAATCGGGTTAAATTTTTTCTGGAAAAAAGGACTTACACGTGTTTTTTGAACAACTCCTCGCGTCCTAGGTTATTAAAAGAGTAACAAACTCCCTGATCGATCAAAATCGGGGTGAAGAGTTTGTCACAACTGTAGTATTTTCCCATAAAGTTGCAAAAATGTAAAATTGAGTCGACGTTAAGTTTGACTTGATCCAGGACTTGGAAAAATTGATCATCGACTGTTTTATTGGCCCGTTGGCTAATGTCGAGGTCAGGGTCACACAGGAGGGTCAAATAGTAGAAATTTTTCAATCTAAAAGTGTCAATTTTTGGGAGAAAAAAACTCCAAGTTCTTACTCAGTTTCGTTGATTTCCTTATCTTGCATTATCTCGAAATAAACTTTACTGTAATTAAACTCTTTTCGCGAATATTTCGATTCTGGACAAATAGTGACAGCAGGAAATGGGATTTGGTACAGTGGAGTGTCTTTTGTTGAAAAACTCACAACAACAGGACAACTCTCGTATTTGTGGTAGACTTTATAAATCATAAACATACACCCACTTAACAGAGTTAATAGCATCAAGGACCAAATTGTTCTACAAATGTGTTAAAAAAAAATTATGTGAATTTGTGACTCACTTTTCAATTTTCGAGCGTTTTTCGGTGAGGTATTTGAAACCATGAATGCTAGTGGAGGAGGAATATTGCACGAGATGGTTTCGCAATTTTTTATTAAATTTTGTGTTTTCTTCCAATTTCATCTTGATTTGAGGAGACTTTGTCGGACTCTGAGGAAAATCAAGATTGTAGGGGAACAAAGCAATGAAATGTTTGTGTTTGTTAAGGAAACACAATGCTTTAATTTAGTGACCTGAGGACATGTTTCAAGGAAATTGCGAATTACGATTATCATAAATTTTAGGCGAAATTCGAACTCGAGTTTTTTTTGGAGGAGTATTTGAGGTTTCAAAAACTTGGAAAAGTTGTTTTCTGCAAATTTTGAAAAGGAAAAAAATTGTCTAAATTTAAAAATTTTAATCGAAAAAAGATTTTTTTTTAATTAAATGGCTTTTATGGTGAATTTTTTCCCCGAAATAGAAAACTTTAAAGCACATTTATAGAAGATAGTCGAGGAAATCCATTAGCGCCGAAGAAATCGGGAATTTTTGGGTATTTTAGAAGCTCAGGATACAAAAAAAAAACAATTTACCTAAATTTTGAAAGTTATTAGACTATTTATTTCTCTTACAAAATTTAAGCCAATCAAATCTTTCAAATTTTTGAGGTTCGTCTAATCAAATTTAAATTACGCGATAATTCACCAGAAATTTGAAATATTTGATTGACATAAATAATTTTTTTGACATAATTTTTTTCAATTTCTTATAAAGAAAATATTGTTTTTGTAAATTTTGTTGGAAAATAGTCTGGAAATACCTCTTGTGCATGCCAAATTGATTTCAATTATCGATAATTTGGCATGCACTCGGTATATTAATTACTATTGATAATTGTATAAAAAAAGCCTATAGAACAAACCATATTATGGGTTTTTACTGTTTAACAGAACATTGTTAGTAGAATTCGATAGTTTTTTCGATAGTAGGTATCTATAGTTTTTGGGAAAAACGCATTAAAATCTTCCAATACTTTTTTTAATTTTAAATATGTAGTAATTAGGTACGCAAAATTTTTTCCGGAATTGTAAAATTTAAACCGGACTTTTAAATAATACTCCAAAAATTCGATTGGACTCGAGAATATTGAAAAATTCTGTGTGGTGGCGTAATACAGGAATTCAAAATTTTCGAAGCTTTTGAATTTATTAGACGAAAAAAAAATTAAATTAAATATTAATGTTAGTGGATTTTTTTGACGTAATTTTTTGAGAAAAATGCTATGAATTTCTAAACGATAATGGTGAAATTGTCGATTATTAGAAAATTTAATAAATTACACTTTTATAAAATATGGTGTCAAGAAAATCGAAAATTTTCTTGTGGATTAGAAATTATTAAGTAATATAGGAAACGTCAATTTTTTATTGTTATATCACAACAGAAAAATAAGATCTCAAAATTTGTAATAATAAAATTTTTATTAAGAAATCCGACAAAAGAGAAGGAATCTACTTGCATTACAGAAACCTGTAACGGATTTAACGTTTAATGTTGTTACAAGATGGCAACATTTATACGTTACCTTCATTTGTTTTGAAAGTCTAAGAATACAGCCACTACTAGGATTTTTACAATATAAAGTTTTATAACACGTGTTTTGGCTCCTCGTGCATAGATGTCGTCCTCAAGATTAAAATGTCTTTTCATAGAAACTCTAATTTGTCTAGTCCAATTGACAAACCAGTTTAAAATCGTTAATCCCATTAGAATCAAATTGGACTTGCAATTGATTTAAACCACTTGTTGCGCCGTCAATTAGCCCCTCTGACAAGCTAAATCCAGTCCACGTGACTGATCAACTGATCACGTGTCAAAAATGGCGGGAAATAAAATTCAAGAATAGATGTAACAGTCGTATTTATTTTCAAATTCCTCTCGTATCAAAAATACAAACATGCTTATCACAGTAGTGATTGATTAATAAACAAGGCGCAAACATTTTGATTATCAAATCTAAGCCTTAATCACAGGTACCAACAATAAATATCACAAATATCAACAATTTAAAGCTTTCATCCTCGAGATCAACTCTAGCCTAACCTAACCTAAATATTGAGCAAACAATAGTGAAAGACGTCGTGAGATATCTAACAATGTACAAGAGCTTCACCACGGCCTCCACACATCGTCGTTTTTATGGGCGACTTTGAGGAGCCCAGCGGTGGAGCAATCCATGGGCTGGTTGGGCGAGGGTGCCTGGGAGGAAGCCGGCGTGAGCGGCATGGAGTAGACGCTGGGGGCGGGCGAGCCTGGCGGCGTGTAACCCACTTGGATGACCAAGGGCGAGACTTTGTCCATTTCGTTGAGACGGTGCCCCAGGTGCGTCATGAGTTTGGTCCCCAACTGCACGTCCACGTGGGGGATGGAGGCCAGGCACCTGGACACCTCGTTGGCGCAGTGGGTGTACCCCGCCCGGAAGCGGTCGGCGTCCACGACGGGGTTGGCGGAGAGGCGCTGCTGACGGCGGAGTTTGTGGAGGTGGCGCACTGTCAGCTCCAGGATGTCGGCCTTCTCCAGCTTGGAGACGTTCTCGCCCTCGCTCTGGAGGGCCGTCACCATGAGCTCTTTGAGCTCGTCGAGGCAGCGGTTAATCCGGGCGCGCCGTTTGCGCTCCAACATCGGCTTCATGACCTTCCGGTACTGGTAAGTCCGGGAGATCGGCTGGGGCTCTTCGACGGAAAGCATCTCGATAGCACTTGCACTTGCACACTAGACACACGAACTGTGAATGAAGAGGCGAATGGTAGGGCGAGGCTTTTATAGCTGCCCCAGGTGTGAGTCGCTCCGATCGTGGGAAACTCAGAAGCTAGCTCGTTCCCACACTTAGGCCACCTGTGGCAAACCAAGCGCGTGCAGCTGCCCTCGTTCTGTCCCACTCGGGGGGCTCTCGCTCGCTCTCGTGGGCTCGTGCTGGGTGCGTGGATGGACGACGCCGATCTACCATCCTTCACCACACTGTTACAACAGATATCTACTGTCCTGCTCACGCGAGATTAGCCTGTGCCTCGATTGTTATTAACTGGAGCACCAATTAGCTTTTTATTTGTTGGGGATCGTATCTAGGGTTTGATTTCTGGCAAGGTCGCAAGATGATTGACAATATGCTAAACGTGACAGAAGAGTGGCACAACTTATAAAAACGGACTTTTTTATCAGCAATTTTTACAAAAAAAAAACAAAAACATAATTAATTAGCAACTGACATTTTTATCGTTAAATGGCGATTTATAGCAAAAGAAATTGGTGTTTCAATTTTGCAAACGGTTAAAAATTATATTTTCTTAATTACACTCTCAAGCAAAAAATTTTAGAAGTAATTACTGACACTTTATTATTTTTTATTTTAACATTTACCAAAATAAGGTGTACAATTTATAGTAAGAACAAAGTTTTGTTTCTTTGTGGATAACACAATCAGAAATATACATCAGAAAATAAAAGAATTGAACAGATTTGTTATTACGAAAATACGGAAATTGCGTTCACAAATCTCCAGGGGTAATTCCATACCTCAAATATAAAAAAAAATAAAAAAAATGCAAAATATAAAACAAAAAAATCAGATTTTCCAGGAATAGCAACTGAAACTTTTACCATTAATTGTCGATTTTTACCAAAAGAACTTGGTGTTTCAGTTTTGCAAACGGTTAAAAATTGTACTTTCACAATTACACCCCAAGAAAAATTTTAGAAACACTTACTGACACTTTATTATTTTTTATTTCAACATTTATCGAAATAAGGGGTACAACTTATAGAACAAAGTTTTGTTTCTTTGTGGGTAAAATTAATCAGAAATATACATCAGAAAATAGAATAATTGAACAGATTTGTTATTATAAAAATACAGGCTGTCCGGAAATTGTGTTCAGAAACTAGGGGTAATTCCTTACAAACTATAAAGAAATGTTTCTGTGAACATGGGTCAAAAAAGCTTCCTTAGTAAGTTACGGCCCTGTAAAGATGGGCTTTCAAATGTGCTTTTTTGATTATTTTTGTTAATATTTAATCATAATTAATTGTTATGATTTGAAGAACGCCAGCTATGTTTTTTATTCATTACATTGTTTCCAGAGTTGGCTTGATAAATATCGCCAAAAATATCACGATAAATAACGATATTGTAAACAAAATTGTATACAAAACACTAATCTAAAGTCTGGTATTTCTGTTCAAATTTTTGAATAAGAAAATTGGATGTTAGGCGGGGGATTTGGATTTGAATTGGATCTGGCAATCTATCTATCTATTAACCGATTTAAAATCTGACGATGACATTCCACTGCCGAGACATGTTAAAAAATAATATTTAATTTTTTTATTTTAACTTTTGGAATTTTTGTTAATTTTATAAAATGTTTTCATCTAAAAGATTTTTTGTTAATAAGTAATCTACACTGATCTAAGTAATCTACATTGCATAAATATTCATAAATATGGGATATTTTGGTATTTATATAATTATCATGATATTTATGATATTTGCTAAACCTTGTTGTGTCAATTACCTCAGTGCGTCGCAAAAAAATTGCCTGTATCTCAAAAACGGTGCCTTTTACAACATTTTACCTAAAGGACATTTAAAAAGAATGTTTTTTCTATCTTATTATGGTATTAAATTTGCAAAATGTTTTATCTAAGAGAAAAAATATTGAATTATTTTTGCCGCAGCCCTTCCTATTTTGTGCGTCCCTGATCAAGATTCAAAGAAGATTATTAGTTTTGAAGTTTTTCTTGTTGGATCGTAGAAAAAGTTATATGTATTACTCTGAAGAAAAGTGTGTTTTTCTCCCTGGGTGGTTACTACCACCTTGTCATACAAAAAAAAACTAATACGGACTAAATAAATTCTAGGAAAATTTTTTCTTTTAATATTAAATAGATCTGCAAATGAGAAATGTTTTTAGTCACTTGAATTCATCTTAAAAACAATTTCTCTCTTTACCAGTTTTAAAATAAAACCTAGAGCTTTTTTAACTAACGTAAAATACATATGCAAAGCAGGACTGTAATTAAATTGAACGTGACAGAAAAAATGTAGCAATTAACTGATAAAAACATGTTGTAACAACTTTGGAATAAAAAACGGCGAAAAACATAAAAATCAGAAAAAAAACGTGTTTTCGAGCCTTATAAAAATTTTACAAATCCATTCATATGCTAATTGGAAAATTAATAAAGTCAAGGATCTCATGGTAAAGAAAACAGAATCTTTCACATTTTTGATTTTCATCTTTTTAAGAAAACTACAAAAACGCCAAAAAATAATTTGTAACTGATGTTTATATTAGTGACTGAATTTTTTATTAACGATTTTTAACAAAATAAATTATTACAAAGAGAAAAATTATTGCCAGGAATATCAAATTTTCAACATATAACGATTGATATTTTGTTTGGTTAATCAAAACTAGTACTAATATAGTATGAAATTACTCATCATCATGGAATTCATTTTCCCTTATTTATCAAGTAAATAAAAAGTGGCTAAATAAGACATTAGAAATCTGTGATTTAATTAATTTTTTCACTTAGTTTCAAGTGGTTTTGCAAAATTGATTAATGCTAAAAGAATTCCTTAATTAATTGAATTCAATTAAAAAGTATGATCCTGTCTCAAAATTTTTAAAATATAACACTGGGTTTTTTAATTGTAATCACTTTCGAAGAAATTTAGTCGGGTATGCAAAACAGATCAGATTATGCGAAACAAATGTTAAAATCTGAATTAATTTAGCTTTAATTTGGAAAAAATGTATCAATTAATTGCCAAAGGCAAATTTTTTCGGACACGTTTCTCGATAAAAAAACATCGAAAAACCATAAAAATAAAATGAATGCCTCATTTTAGAAAATTTGACAAATTGTAAATTCCTTGCAATTTAAATATCTTTGTTCTTTGAAGCATAACTTTGGGACAAATTGTCTTTCCATAATAGCCTCTAATTGCGCTAATTTTCACCTCATTATCACGTAAGCACCAGCTGCCATCTTTGGCCAAAATGTGGTCAAAAGCAATTTGCGACACTTATTCCAAAAACTGGTTAAAATGCAAATCGCGCAAAAATCGTAGACAATTTCAATTAGCTGTTACAAGACCCAATTTCCCAAATTGAAAATTCCGTGATTTATTTTGCGCGCAATTAGGAAATAATTGGGGCCATAAATCCGACCCCGGTCATCGCAAAGCCACTTTTTCCACCTAGTGCGGAATCGTGACATTTGCATAATCGGCGGAATCGTTGACACCGTTCAAGATACTTTAATCATATGTGAGAAAATACGCAGATGCGCGCGACATTATGCAGTCCGAACCGTAATTAAAATAATGGAAAAAAACAAAAAAGCTGAATTAATACTCCCGGTTCTGCTTTTTTTAACAACATTAGTAAAAATGGTTCCATTGCACTTTCACGAACGTCACCATTTCCACCGCTAATTAGCAAAAAACGGACCACAATCCTAAACTCAATTAAACGCGTTTCGGGCAATATGGAATATCACAAATTCCCCACATTCGTGATTAAGACACTTGGACATTCCGACTGCACAAGAATCCAGATAACAAGGATGAAAAAATTCTCAGATCCTGGACAAATTGAGATCAGATAACCAAAATTTCATTTTCGTTGCTAGGCAATAGCAATTTAAATCACAAATTTTCTTTGTACGTTGCTATGCAATAGCAAATTAAATCACAAATTTTCTTTGTTACTTAGCAACAAGAGTGATTGTTTTAATTCGTTGCTAGGCGATAACAGTATTGTCCCCGTCGTGTGTTTGGAGCGTGTCCCCCATTCCCACGGCGGTGTCTCTCGTGCCGTATCGGCATTTGGGGCCCCGCGCCCCCCGACCGCCGCAAAATAATAGTGATTTGTTATTATGTGCAGCACGAACTGGTCGGCAGTAGTAGGCCGTGTAATCATCATTGAGTTGCTCACGCTTGTTTTGATGTCGAGGGGGGCCCCGGGGCAAAGAACTACCGTGGGAACGGTCGCCTAGCACGTGCTCGAAAGGGTGCAAAGACGGACGTCCGGTCCTGCGTGCGCTTTCATCGGGAAAAAATCCCGAATTGTTTTGTTGAGAAATTTGTGCTTAAAAGTCAAGGATAGCGATAAAAAATTCCTATGCAAGTTAACACCTGCCTCGTTTTCCCACAGAAGACAGGAAGTGTGCGAGAGAGCTGGCCGAAGCGTGACCCAATCGGGGGGAGAAAGACAGACCATTATAAGACCATCACCATTTATTATGGGTGTTTACGGGTTTGAGATTAATGCACCCAATAAATATGCTAAAAACAATCATCAATCCCTTTTGATTAGATTTCTGCATTTTTTAGACGAATTTTTATTCTTTTTAATGCATTTTTGTGGCAACTATAAAGATGATAACTTTTTGTTTTTTTACTTGTCTTGGAAATTGAAAATACAGCGTGTCCCAGCAAGTTACAAAACTCCATTAGTGACCTTTAAATAGAAAAAAATATAAGATATATAAAATATAAGATAATCTAGTCCATCACTTAAAATTATTTTCAACTACAGCGTGTCTCAATACAATACAAACTTGTGTTATTTTAAATGAAACGCCATATGTTTCTTACCGTTTTTGGATGTAGATTTTTATGACAATGTTTTTAAGTTAAACTTTTTTTGGTCGATTTTGCTTAGTTTTAAAAATAAGACAATTTTTTTAACGAAAACATGCACTTTTTAAAAATTTATTACACAAAAACTAAGACATCTAGAAATATTTTTTACTACCGCAAAGAAGAAGGTACAAGTTATAAGGTTGTAAATTTTTTTTAGTGTGTTGCATTTGCAAAGATAAAAAAATTAAGGCGTTTATTAAAAGTTCAATAACTTAAAAAAATTAAATAGAACACCCTATTTGTTGCTTTTGCACTTAAAAGTTTATTAAATTGTCTTTCTAAAATTATTTGCTTTTAGGTGTTTATAGTCAATAACTAAAAAGACATTTAACGTTAAACATTAAAAAAATAATAATAATAATTACTATTGTTTCAGTATTCAAAAAGTGCACAGTTGTACAAGAGATGGAAGAAATATCACTTAATAATCACATTTGTGTTAAACGAATCCATTATTCTTTATTTTTACAATAAAATAATTTGAATTTCAGTATACAGGGTCTTCGTTTTTATTTTTTCAAACGAAAACTAAAAGACCTAGACGTTTTTAACTAGCACGTTCTTAAGACACTTTTTTACAAGGAATCTAAATCTGTCATTGTATTTTTCAAGGCGCTCTTGATATCAGAGTTTTAAAAAATACAGCAACCAAATATGGCATCTATAAGAATTTTATATTTTCATTTATGAATTCTAGACATTAAAAGTTTATTTTTTTAGATAGGCAATTCATCAATCTATTGGATGCAAAAATAAAAAATAGGGTGTTCTATTTAGATTTTTTAAGTTATTTAACTTTTAATAAACTTCCTAATTTATTAATCTTTACAAATGCAAAACACTAAAAAATTACCACAGCTTGAAATTCTGTACTTTCTTCTTTGCAGAAGTAAGAAAAAATTTGTTCTAGCTGTCTTAGTTTTTGTGTAATAAATTTTTAAAAAGTGCATATTTTTTATCAAAAAAAAAAAGTCTTATTTCTAAAACTAAGCGAAATCGACTAATAAAAGTTTAGCTAAAAACATTGTTTTAAAAGGCTACATTTAAAAAAACACAAGTTTGTATCGTAACGTATTTTTGGGACATGCTGTATGGTTGAAAATAATTTTTGGTGATGCACTAGACTACTAATGGACTTTTTCAACTCGCTGGGACACTCTGTATGTTTTCAGTCATAATTACAAAACTTTTTTTTAATACAATTGTCAATGCAATAATTTAATATTTTTTGGGCATTTTTTGTGAATTTTTGATTATATATTTTTTTGAGACAAAGCCTATTGAAAGTATATTGTCAAAAATGAAATACGTGTTTGTGTAAAATAAAATGCGAAATGTGTCTTGTGCGGTCCACGCTCCTTCCACACGTCTTCCGCTAACAAAACGCACCCTTCCTGTTGCGGAATGTTTCCCACGCTAGAAGAACACCTTTCCTCAATTATCACTTACCCCAAGTTGCAGTTCGCCCCATTATATGCGGCATACGAACGACATATGGCCAACGCGTTCTCATACCGTGGGAATCGAGGGCAAAAGAAATCTTGAATACCGACAGATTCACCCTTAGATTCGCTTTCGGAACGCAGCTGGACTCATTAGCTGTAATTGGGATGAGCGTTGACCTTTCACGATTTTCCTAAACGCACGCGTTCAAAAAACACATTTTTACCGCATTTACGAGCTATTTTCGAACAATAAAACCAAAGTCAATATGTAACAGGAAGTTTCAGGAAGCCAAATTTATTCTTTCAATTAGACGACTGCCTGAATGTGACTAATTTATTCCTATTTGCCCAGATATTAGCCTTTTGTGCACCTGAAACATTAACACTTCTAATTGTTTGCTTTGTTCAGATTTTCTCATTTACATACAGGCTGTCTCAAAAATACGCTACCACGACCACGTAATAATTTCCATAATGTTACCATAGTTACATTTAATTGTTTCTATGGAAACATCAACGTTGCTATGGTTACCACGGCTAAATAAGAAGTTCATTTTCAGTTCATTTTCTAATTGTTTTTCATCACCACTTTTGTTTCCTCTCACATCACTAAACTCAAAAAAATTGTTCAAAACTGAAAAAAAATGGTTGTATAGACAATGAAAGCAACTTCAAAATAATGTTACTCGACTCATTTTGCTATTTAAATTTTTTTAAAGGGTGCTTCTGGACGTTAGGGGGAAACTTTAAAAAAATTTGGACCTCCTTTATGTTAAAATTATCCTGTTAATTTTAGTTGGGACCGCCTGTATAATAGTCGTAGAGAAACAACGTTTTCAAAATTAAAATTTATGTTACTAATTTTTTAAGCAAATTTATGATTTCTAAAGTTTTTTTTCTAATAGTGGGTTCTATGACGTCAATATCCTAATTTTTTTTAAAGGTACTATTTAAATAGTAGATTACATGCAAGCTGGAAAATGTGTCTAATAACACACGAGGGCTTAGATATCCCATTGAGAGGCCCAACCCCGAGATTGGATAGAGCCCAAGTGACATTTCCACCCAAGTTTGTATACTATTTTATTCAGAATCACACTTTTTAAGATAATAATAAAATATCTGTTTTTTAGTCAAAGTTGATGCATTGACATTGAGTTTGTGCAAACAAATTGAGTTTTTAGCATTTAACATGGATAATGCTTCGTAAATTTCTTTCCGACCACGGGATGTAATGACAAATTTCCCGACTTCTAGTTAGTTGTTTCTATCAAAACATCAACGTTGGTATGGCCAATTGAGTGGATTTCGGCTAAATAAGACATTGGAAAACAGCGCCTTTCAATTAATTTTCTAATTGGTTATGAAACAGGCTTTGGAATTAATTAGCTGAGACGCGTATAAATAACTTATCTGTCTCAATATCTGAATTGGGCAAATTGAAAAATTCTTGTTATTATCGAATTTGCATAAGTATTTTTAATAAAGTTGGAGATAAAAATGGTTTTTTTATGACGTCTTGTCCATTAAAAATTGATTTTATGGCCTGTGGCGCGTAATTCCTGAAAATTCGTGTCTAATGTTTCAGTTTCGGGTTTCAAAAATCACGTAACGGTTCATAATTCATGCAAAGGTTTCTGATACCTTAATAATAAGATTTTCGGTGTGTAATTTCATCAGAGTTTTGCGATTTTTGGTGTTTTTCCGGAAGCTGAGCGAATCCGTGAGAACCGCGTGACCACAACGTCACCGGAAGCTCGTAATAGATATAATAACAGTGAAAGTCGTGTAATTCGTGTAATTATATATACAAGGATGACCCGTGATCTTTCCATCAGCGCCCGATGGCCGACTCTCCATTCTTTATAATTATTTAATTGGTTCGTGCCTTGAAGCCAAGGAAGTTTACTGATTTTTAACGGCAGGATTGCTTCCTGCAAGGATTTTGTTCAAGCTCCCAAATGACCCGGAGATGAAAATCCGGAGAATGCAAATTGTGCAAGGTGTTTCAGTGTTGCATCCAAACCGAAAAAAATCAAATCGTTATCCTTGACATTAGATTTGATATTTAATTCGACTTTTTCTGGCGGTCAATGTGGAAAAAATGCAACGATAGAAAGGCCGCCCTCGGGTTCAAAATTTTTCCAGGTGTTGGATTATGTCACTAAAATGGTACATTTTCCTTCCTAATTAATGGAGACCGGATTTTAGGTAAAATGCCTTTTGGATTCTCTTTTAAGCCCTAAACGGGACCCAAAATTTTAAACGTTTCAGATGAAATAATTGTAAAAAACTAAATTCTAAAACGACAAATACAGGTGTCCCCAAAATCGCGCTACAGAGAAAAATGACAGGAACACGGAAAAAATGTTAAAAAAATCTATCTATAAAAATTTCGAAGTTATGAGAGTTTAAATTTTGCACTTTGACTCTATTTATTTCTGTTGGAAAAAAAATCCAATTTTTTTTGCTACAGGCTATTAGAAGAAGAAACAAGGAAGCTGTATCCTAAATTGTTTAATGTTATTTGTGGTTTTTATTGGAAAAATTTTTGGATCTTTACTAAATAATTATAAAAAAAAACGTATACAAAATTATCAGTCATTAAATAGACATACAAAAATGTCAAATGTCAAAAAATAAACGTCAAAATTTTATAACAGATAGAAGTTTTGAAACATTTTTTTCAGTACTCCTTTTCAAGCAAATGTGCGACTTTCTATGCATCCTGTATAATCTTTTTGTCCTAAAACCATAATTGTAATATTTTTTTAAATTCTTTAAACACAAATCATTTGTTTAGTTTTTTTTAACTTTATTTTGCCTTTCTGTCTTCTCCGCTTTAACTAAATCAAAACTGCAAAGAAATTACATTTTTGCTTAACTTGAAACGGGCAAATCTGTAATTTAAACTTTATGATTATTTTGACTCAGTGAAAGTTTCTCTGATTTTGGACAAAACAAAGAAGTTTACGCAAGTTAAATAACAAAAATTATTGCAAGTCAATAGAAAAATGAATGACTTTTCTTAACTCTGAGTCAAAATCATAATTGTAAGTCAGAATAATGAAGTTTTAAAGGGGTAGTATACTATATTTTATTATTATTTAAGTTAAATCTACATAAAAAATAATATACCCGTGTTTTTTGTTTTTTTGCGAAAGCGTGCATTCAAGGAGAAAAAAAATTTTTTTCGCTTAATTGAAAAGCGATTTTTAGTTACATTGCTAAGAATAACTGTATAAATCTATATTTTGCCCTCTTTTTTATAGTATAGTACCCCATTATAGATTTGTCCATTTTAGGTTAAGCAAAAATGTGACTTAAAAGGACTAAAGGTGGCAAAACCTTTGCGAATCATGTAGTGTGAGGTGTAATAATAATAATTTTGACAAAACATTTGCGAGTCAAATAGAGTGAGGAGGCGAGCGGCAAAGCCGCGAGCCCCCTTTAAATGTCGCCCAAATCTGATAGTGTGAGTTCTTTTTATTTTCTTCACAACATTTTCGAATCCGACAGCATTTGTAGTTATTATGTCCTATTTTATGTTTTACTGCGTTTTTTTAGATTCTTTTTTGCAGACTAATAAAATTTTAATTAAAGTTAAGCAAAAAATGTAATTTAAATGGACTAAAGGTGGCAAAACTTTACGAATCAGTCTGAAGTCTTGAAGGGGGCCAGCGGCAAAGCCGCGAGCTCCCTATAAACGTCGACAAAATCTGATGGTGTAAGAGGCAAAGCTCTCGATAATTTTGACAAAACATTTGTGAGTAAAGTGAGGTCTAAATGTGGACAAAATTTAATAGTGTGAGTTCTAGGCTAAAAACGTGATTTAAAAGGACTAAAGATGGCAAAACCTTTGCGAATCATAATAATAATAATAATTTTGACAAACCGTTTGCGAGTCAAATAGAGTGAAGAGGCGAGCGGCAAAGCCGCGAGCCCCCTTTAAATGTCGACAAAATCTGATACTGTGAGTTCATTTTAGTTTCTAGACAACATTTTTGAATCCGACAGGATTTGATATTAGTTTTTAGTTATAATGTTCTATTTTATATTTTTACTGTCTTTTTTTAAGATTCTTTTTTGCAGAATAATAAAATTTTAATAATATATTTGTTTGTCAGGTTAAGCAAAAATTGTGATTTGTAAAACCTTTGCGAGTCTGAGGTCTAGAAGGGGGCGAGTGGCAAAGCCGCGAGCCCCTTATAAAGGTCGACAAAATCTGATAGTGTAAATTTTACTCGGGGCGAAGCCCCCGATAATTTCGACAAAACATTTCTGAGTCAAATAGACTGAGGTTTAGAAAGGGGGCGAGCGGCAAAGCCGCGAGCCCCCAATAATTTTTGCTTTCTACACAACATTTTCGGCAGGATTTGATATCAGTTTCTAGTTACGAGTCCTAACTGTCCTTTTTTAAGATCCTTATTTTTTTAACGTTCTAAAATCCAGTCTTTTCTAATTAATAATGCGATTTCTGGGCTAAGAAAAGCCCAAAAATGGTGAATGTTATTTCGGTCCAGATTTTTGCGGGCTTTGTTCGATCATGGGTGTTGTTGTGGGCCTCGCGTGCCTGCATCGCCTTTTTAATAGTCTCTAAGTAGCAAAGTGTGATTGTGTGTCCGTGGAAGAGTCAAGGGAGATCGTGGTAGAGACCGTGGGAAAGAACCAACGACTCGACACGCTCCAAGAGACCGGTATGTGGCCACGGCCTGTTTGCTCGTAATCAGTGAGCGGTTACACGCGTGCTGGGCACGGGATATAACAGATCCTTCGATTAGAAACGTATTTTGCACGCGAATTCCAGCCGCCGGTCGGCAATAGACGCCTTACCGCACCGTTCGGAAACACCGACTTTTCCACACTGATCAAAAGCAACAAACGATGGCTCATTCCTTATTATGGATTTTTCATAAAACCAGACGATTGAATGTTAATGAGCACAAGTTGCGCAGTTTTTAAACAATTGTTTGTAAAATTCTGCAATTGCAAGAATAATAAATTTAATCAAGTCGCGAGGCTTTGTCTGAGAAGGTAATTTATTCG